CTCTCACACACACACACACTCTCACACACACACACTTACACGCACACTCACACACACACTCTCACACACACAGACATCAGTGAGTGTTTTATTAAAGCCTGATCGTAAAGCGCATCTCTCTCTGTGTTTCAGCGCGGCCGGCGGTTATTTATACGTGACCATCATCTATAACATCTCGGTCAGTCTCTCTCTCTACGCTCTCTTCCTCTTCTACTTGGCCACTCGTGATCTGCTGGAGCCGTACGGCCCCATGCTGAAGTTCCTCTTGGTCAAATCCGTCATCTTCCTCTCCTTCTGGCAGGGTGAGTCTTCATCATGTCAGCCTTCATCTGATAATCTGCTTGATCTAGCGATTTGACATTTGATTTTAAGCGATTTCCCCAAATAACACAACATCTCAGAGGTTTTTTGGACCTTTCATGTAAATCATCCCTGCTGGAGAAAAGTTTGAAGGTTTGCATTTGCAGTTTTGTCTGAAACTTGGGGATTTGCTCAATAAATAAGGATGATTTCTCAAAAGTGATCCCTTTTGAATGTAATTTACCCTTTATCTTTTCTCAAAGCAGATTGGAAAAAATATCAACATGTGACAGTCATTTTTGGGCCACTGAATGCAAAATAAAGCATGTTCATTAAACAGAAACAGCCTTTAAAATAATTCAAAATAATTTAAAAACTTGTAACTTAAAAAGTCCTAAAATATTAAAATGTTAACAAATAATTTTAATATATATTAAAATGATAAAATAAGATGTTAAATATAAATATCTTGAAAAAATTATTTATAAATCTTAAAATTATAAAAATATAATATGTTGGTCTAAATATTATTATAAAAAAAATGAATATAATTCTTAAATATAAATCTTAATTTTAAATGTTCAAAAAGCAAGTATAAATCTTGTGAATGTTGTGTGGAAAATTACAGTAGTTTTGTAATTCAACTTTTGTCATTTTTACATTCAGTATTAAAGTACACAATTTCAAAAACATTAATGTTAATGAACATGTTAATGCAACAATTGTATTTTTTAATGATGAAAGAAAAACAGTGTCTCTGTTTGATGTAGAGATGATGTATTGTAAGTACTGTTAATACATTTTATTCTTACATATAAATCTAAATATCTCAAATGAAAGCAAAATATAGATCTAAATGTTATGTGAAAAATTATGTTTTGTATAATTTTTATACAAATATACACTTTAAAATAAGACTTGAAATGACGTATATAAATCTAAATATCTCAAATGAAAGCAAAATATAGATCTAAATGTTATGTGAAAAATTATGTTTTGTATCATTTTTATACAAATATACACTTTAAAATAAGACTTGAAATGACGTGTTAAAGAACATGTTAAATACTATTGTTTTTTTAGGTGATGGCAGAGAAATGTATTTCCTTTTGTGTTGTAGGGATGCCGTTTCACTAAATATTATTGTTAAATAATGAATATAATCCTTAAATGTAAATCTAAAACTACAGTTGTTCTGCAACATGTAAGAAAAACTCTTGATTTACTCACTGGTCTTGTTAAAGTGTGTTCATTTCTATCTGTGTTAGATGGATTAGACAGTAGAAATGCTTTGGCGAAAGCACAACTCTATCATCTTGTGTGCTGTAGGGATGCTGCTGGCCATTCTGGAGAAATGCGGCGCGATTCCTCGCATCAACTCTCCTGATGTCAGCGTGGGGGAGGGGACTGTTGCCGCCGGTTACCAGAACTTCATCATCTGCATCGAGATGTTCTTCGCCGCTCTGGCGCTCAGATACGCGTTCACATACAAGGTCTACATGGACAAGAGACTCGACATCCAGGGTGCCTGCTTTTGTAGTGATGTTTTTGATTCTGTTTATATGATTCGCAAACTCAATTTGATTTGTTTCAGTTCGATTCAGTTTTCCCTGCCGTGGCATGCACTGAGAGTCTGTGAGAGACGTAGTTCAGCTTTATAAATGTGTGAAATCTTCAATGTTTCTAACTGATCTTTCTCTTTTTCTTCCTCTCTGTCGTGTCTGTCATCCCTCATTCCTGGGTTTGTTTCTATTTCGATATATTTATTTCTTTGTGGATGTGCTGTGGTTTTGTCTGTTTCGTTCGTGTTTCTCTGTGTTTTGTGTCCATCTCTGTCTCTCTCAGGCTGTGTTCCTGTCTATGGCCAGTACGGTAGGTTTACTCTGGATTTTTGTTTTCTATATGTTTTCGCTGTCTTTGTTTAATACATAATTTACTTTAATACACATCCTGTGTGTCTGTACTGGGATCCTTTCATTTGATTTAATTCGGTTTCTTTCATCATGTTTATTTTTTTTTGTTTTAGTATCAAGATATTACTTTTTTTTTTATATATATATATTTTTTTTGACTTTTTTTATTTTTATAGTTTCCAAACTAAAAATCTGCTACTAGCTTAAACAAAAACATATATGTTTTTCTTAAATTATTTTTAAATATTAAAATATTTTAACTTTTATTTTAGATTACATTTATTTCAAGTAACAAGTATATTTTAATGACTTTATTCTTAGTTTTAGATATAAAAATCCTGACTGTGTTTGCTGTTTTTCCAATTAAATGCTCTCTAGTTTGAGACCAAACTCTAACCCTGTTTATTAAAAATGAGACGTGATACAACATAAGTTTGCAGTCAACCTTTAAAGAATAATTTATTTTTCTGTAGCATCTTTCTTCATATGTACAATGTTGCCGCATGTGAGTCCAGATGCTATTTTGGAAATACAATATATATTTTTTTAAAGATTTGTGTAAAAATCTATAGTAACATGCTTCAGTCATGGTTTTGTTGTTTAACTAAAGGTTAAACTGGTTAACTAAAGGCTGTAACTGACACCAACTACATATTTAAATAGGAAGAATGTCTACACAGGAAAGAAATGTACTTTTGTCAAGCAGTTGTGTGCTCAATAAAACGGTCTGTCTGTCTGTGTTTCAGGTCGTTGTGCTCCCATGAGCATCTCCAGCAGTCTGAAGGAGACGATGAATCCGGGCGACATGCTGCAGGACGCCATCCATAACTTCTCTCCGGCGTATCAGCAGTACACACAGCAGAGCCGCTGCCAACCGCTGAGCCGCTCCAACAGCTGCAGCAACGAGAAAACCCTGCTGCTCAGCTCCGACGACGAGTTCTGACGCGCTCTCAAACCCTAGTGAGATCACGATCATGGTGCATGCATAGACAGCATGTTTGGGCATCATCAGTGCTTCCAGACAGAAGGCAGCAAAACTACTGTATGCTGCCTTGAGGGACGACGTTGTGGCCAAAATATTGATCGAAAATACTTAGAAAATAGAAAATAAGCCAGTGGTTCTCAAACCTTTCAGATGAAGTTACCACCTTTGATCAAATCAGAGCACACAATCACTCTATTAATGTTACTGAACGTTCTGGTTATGAACGGAAATGTTCTTCCGGTAATGTTACTAGAATGTTCGTTCAAACTTCTGTTCTCAAAATGTTAGCGCAAAAACATTTAAACATGGTTAGTGGAATGTTTTATTTCCTGAAATGTTTTGGAAGTTTGTGTAACGTTTTTTTTAATGTTTCGGAATGTTCAGAGAACCTTCAAAAGTAACGTTCCCAGAATGTTTGCACAATAAAATGGAATGTTCCCTTAATTGCACAACAGAGGAAAATGTTTTTAAAACATTTTAAAAACTAGAGGTTAAGAGAAAATCCAAAAATAATGTTTACATAACTTAATTAGAACATTAGCAAAAAGCTGGGAACCACACTTCATAAAATAGAAGTTTCAATTAATATAATATTCTAATCAATATCAAAAATGGTTCAGATAAATCATGATGCTATCAGGCCCCCAACATAACAGTACAAGAGTAACATCTAGAAGCATTGTATTCCAAAACACATTTTGCAAACCATTTAAAAAAATATATTACCATCAAGTTCAAACCAATAACCAGTAAATAAATATATATTTATACATCGTATCCCCTCTGTTTGGAAACGCTGGAACTGCTCTGTCTGGTTTCATTATCGATATGATGCTCAACTGAGCACCGAACCAGCGTTTGTGTCAAACACAAACCTCTCTTTAAAACTGAATAAACTTTAAAGGCAAACAGAATAATGTTTGCTTTTTTTGTCGTGGTTTTTGGCTTGTTTGAAATCAATAAGAATAAGCTTTTGAGTAAAATGATCTTCAGAATTAAATATATGTGAATTTAAAAGTGCACAGTTTGAGAATCACTGGTTTAATTCAAACTGGAGCACTGCATGTGTGTCACGTGAAGCTGCTGCCTGTGTAGGGCGTCTCCGATCACTCACTAATGAGGGTTTATTAGCTGCAGCAGACAGTGAGACAGACAGGAGGAGGATGATTATGAATCATAATGTGGTGCCATATAAACACACACTCTCCTCTTGGCACTTTCTACATGTGTATTTCAGGGTAACGTGAAGATTTATTTACATGAAATATCTAGATTATAAACTGCTGCATAATATTATATGACAGGAGCAACTAATGACTGAATGCCTTAAACATCTGTTACTCTCATGTGGTTCACTGGATTTAAAACGAGTAAATATCTGCAGATTTGAATAAAGAAAATTAGTTTGTCTCTCCATTTTTTTTTTTCTTAAGTTCTCCAGCTGTGTAAAGTAGCCTAACTGTAGAAGCACAGTTTTCTGGTAGAAGTTTTCTGGTTTATTACTTTGTCAAATGTGAGCTCTTCTGAGCTGCAGAATCTGTTGTTGTGTTTTAAAACGTCCACAGGAGGACGCCGCTTTGTTCTAGTTTTATTTTCATGTCAGTCACTTTCGATTTAGTAGGTATAGGAAGCGTGATAAAATGGCGTACAGTAGGCCTACAGGTAAGATCTAAATAACAACAATAATAATGATAAATAAGCATGTTTAAGTCAATGATCCACCAGATTCTGATCGATCCTTTATTTGATTGTCTTGCCTCATCATCAAACCGTTTCAGTTGTTAAATTCAGCATTTTGAAAGAAGCAAGCATTAAGTAAATAATGTATAAATATACGCATTTATTAGGTACAAAAACTCACGACGCTATACAGCTTATATGAATCGAAACTTGCATACTTTTTCTGTGATTTAAGTGTAGATATTTATACAGCGCTGATGTGTTTGTGTGCGTTGCGGTTTTGAACTAACTTACACAAATGCTACACGGTGAGAGAAGAAAATGTCGGTCGTAACTTGCTTTCGTTGAAACGCCTGTCGTTTCTATGTTATGTGTCGAACTTTTGTATTTTTTTTTTGCCTTTGACTTTTTTTTAAATGTCAGATATGTATTCGGAATCGTTTCAGCCACACAGCACGCATGGCTAGATTAACAATTTTTTTGTGTGTTTGCATCAGGCAGAAGAAGTCCAGATTTTGAACGCCCCAACAGTAAGTCAATTAAATGATTTGACCGTAATAACAGAGTGTGCATTGTTTTATAGTTCTGATGAAAATGTAGTGACTGTAACTTTGCAACATTTTTCAGTGTTTTCATATATCTGAATGTATTTAATACAAAAAAGATGATCAGCTATTAATATTCAGTAAATGCTAAACAAGAAATGTGTGAAATGATTTGACCGTAATAACAGAGTGCATTGTTTTATAGTTCTGATGAAAATGTAGTGACTGTAACTTTGCAACATTTTTCAGTGTTTTCATATATCTGAATGTATTTAATACAAAAAAGATGATCAGCTATTAATATTCAGTAAATGCTAAACAAGAAATGTGTTTGAGAATTCTGCTCTTATAAAACTATAAAAGTTCTTTGTCACTGAAGCATCAGGCAAAATGGCAGTGAAACGATGTTCAGTGTTTCATTTGTCTCTCTTGTAGAATGAATGTCTTGTATGTTCCAGTATGATGTGAGGATTGTGAATATTAAATGTCTGATTTCACTCTTTGCAGTGAGGATTGTTCTTCTGGGGAAGAACGTGTCAGAAAACAGTAGACCTGAGAAGAGTGAAATATATGCTGGGAAGATTCAGTGAAGAGGCCGTTAAACGCTCTATAGTGATCACGACTGATGAAGAGGCGAAAGCTAATGAATTCATTCAACGATTAACTGCTGAATGTGGAGGACATCTGCAGCTTGATCATGAAATAAAGAGACCGTTCTCTGGAATATCGCAGCAATTAGAGAAGATACTCAGAGAGAACAATGAAGAATTTCTCACATGTGACATATTTGATGATGCTGAAGAAACATTGGTGGATGAAGATCAGAGCAGATCGGAGATGCAAGAGGAAGATTCTGATGATGATTCTGATAAGATGGGAAAAATTCTTTGCCACTCACCGTTGAAAAGTTGTAAGTTTTCATAAATATTTGTGAACAGTTCTGATGCCAGATTAATAAACACCAGGGGCCAATTGGACCAGCTTGACATAAAAAAGTTGGGTGTAAGCTCTACACTGGCCTTAGTTATCTCCAGTCTTTTGATAAATATTTACACCTGTTGCACCAACACAAACTATGACCAGGCGCAACTAGAGTGCGTGCAGAATTATTAGGAAAGCCAATACTGATGATATGTCTTTTACACGCACATTTTTACCAATTTAAACCACATTAATCTTAAAGTGTCATGAAACCCTAAAACTATTTTTTTGATATGTTAACAGATATGTACAGCTTGCACATCAATGACAACAACAATAGCATTCATCGTGTTTCTTATTACATTTACATTTACTAATTTAGCAGATGCTATTTATCCAAAGCGACTTACAATTAAGGAAAACAACAAGCGATTCATCATAAAGAGGCACATAAACACAGGAAGTGCACATAATACAAGGTTTTAGGCATTGTTTAGATAAATCCTCACTTGTAGATCTCAGAATGTAGATTCATAAGAGTCAGTGGAAGTAGGAGGGTGCTGAGCATGCGGCTGTTCTATACACAAGCATCAATGTCTTGAACTTGTGCATGGAGATAAAGAGAGGTGTAACATGGGCTCTTTTGGGCTCGTTGAAGTCCAGTCGTGCCGCTGCATTCTGAATTATTTGTAGAGGTTTGATTGTGCTTGATGGAAGTCCAGCCAGAAGAGCATTGCAGTAGTCCAGCCTAGAAATGACAAGGGCCTGGACAAGAAGTTGTGCAGCATGCTCCGTTAGAAAGGGCCTGATCTTTCTGATGTTGTGCAATGCAAACCTGCAAGATCGGGCAGTCTTTGCAATGTGGTCTTTGAAGGTCAGCTGGTCATCGAAGATTACACCAAGATATATGTATCAAGATTTAACAAAAAGAAGAAGAAATCTTCTTTAGGTGAAACCAATAATTAAATTATCAGGAACCCTTTCCACAATTGTAGTTGATGAACTGCATACTACCAGGAGTCTGCACAAGTACAAGATGTCAGGTTCTCAGAGACTGAATCCTGAAGCATGACCCCCACTTAATAAGAATCACAAGAAATACTGCCTCTTGTACCACTGTTTGAAGAATTTATCTTCCAGAATCTGGCAGTGAGTTTTGAGAGTTCATTTTAAGTCCATCTCCTACCCTGCAAGGTCCATCTTGCTCATTGTTATTAGCAGCTCACACCATGACTCGCTCACCAGCACCATTGTTATCTACTTTTAACTGGTACTGGTCCCTCAAGAGTAACTGTCAGCCTATCTGTCCATAAAACTTTTTAAAAAATCAGCTTGTGATTCTTACCGTATATTATCATACCAAGTCACATGTAGAAGGAATTGCCATTAAAAAATTAATACAAAAAATGTAAGCTAGCATCATGAATTTGAAACTTCTTATTAATTCTTTTTTCTTCTTCTTTTACAGTGAGTAATACAGAGCAAGGTCCAGAGTATGATCGCCTAAAGGGTAAGTTTACAAACTGATTACAGTATTCACTTGATTAAACAGAAATACAAACTATCTATATTATATCTAAATTAGTTTTAGAACGATATTTCTGTTGTTGTTTTAAGGAAGTATAAATGTCACCAGAAAACTGATCTTGGTGGTCTGTGGATTTAATGAAACCCTGAAGAAATCCATATCAAAATGTTTAAGAGGAAAAAAGAAGTTTTTTCCTTCCTTACATCAAAAAGAGAAAGTTAAAGACTGTGTGAAGAAAGAGGGGAAGATACACGGACGTAAGATCAGTCTGGTGGAGCTTCCAGCTCTGACTCGGCTCTCGGAGGAGGAAGTGATGCGTCAGACTCTCAACTGTGTGTCTCTCTGTGATCCTGGAGTTCATGTTTTCCTCCTCATTGTTCCTGATGCTCCACTGACTGATGAAGAAAAAGCAGAAATGGAGGAGATCCAGAGAAGATTCAGTTTAAGAATCAACAAACACCTCATGATCATTATAATCCAAGACAAGAACATGACTACTCCAGTGAATTTAGTTCCTTCTTCAGCTACTGAGACCTCTATTCAGACTTTTGGAAATCGACAGTTTGTTTTGGAGAACAACTCTCAGGTTCCAGCTCTACTGCAGGAGGTGGAGAACATGATAAAAATGAACAATGAAAGTTTGTACATGACCTTCATGTACTTGCAGGCTTGTGTAGAACTTGAGAGAAGTAAACATAGAGCTGAAATAGAGGAACTGAGAAGATCTATGATGAAAACAGCAGGTATGAGTACATAAAAGTGCTTATTGATACACTGATTGTTATTATTGTAATTTAATAAATAGTTTTACTCTGTACATTTCATACGTATATTATGAAAGTGCTATATCAATCAGTAGGCCACCTAATATATATTTATTTATTTTTTAAGACAAAATATATTAATTTTTAAGAAATTTTTTAATCGCGATTAATCACATGCTTTTTCTGTGATTAATCGCGATTAATGCACAAAATTCAATAATGAATTCAAAAGTAGTATTGTGCACTTTTTTCATTTAAAAGTACTGCTATATGAACAAAAATGCACTTTAAATAAATAAGGTGCTTTTTTTTACAGCAGTATTCCTTACTCCTTACGTATTAGCAGTTAAAATATTTATTGTAAATCTCAACTTATAACATTAATGTAATCAAATTAAATATAAAACCAAAGCTATTTGCCACTGCCAGAGCATTAACGTTTTAATAGAAAATATTTTGTAGTTTGTTATAGAAAAACAAGTTATGCTCAGAGTCCAGAGCCTTGATCATAACATAACAGGCACCTTAGAGACCTGCACTATCGCGGGACCCAGTGCAGCAGAGTGCGGCGTGCGACAACACCTGATGGGCGAGTGCAATACTAGGGGGTGCATAATCTGGCAGGGGTGCAGAATTTGGCACAACACCGGCCCTGGCTCGGTTGGAAGAGGTGGGCCAGAGTGCGGTTCAGTTGGGCTCGGGTGCGGTACGCATGTAGTGAGCGGAGCGCGGAACTTCTGATACGTGCAGCATGATTGCGTGAACATTTCTGAGCGGCAAAAGTGATAGGTCTGTAAAGCAATATATTGTGAGAGGCATGTGTGTGTTACCGCGTCCCAAACGACTCAAAATAATAAAACACAAAGTTAACAAAACGATGCACTCCACTGTGCTGAGCGAGAGCGCTTCTGTGCTGTCTTCACGTGCTATCGGAAACTTCCTATTTCCCACTTATGAAGTCGTGAGCGCTGCTGTAGGCCCTCCCCAAATGCTCTCATTGGTTTAGACGCGTGATGACACCCATCCCAAGCCAGTAATGATCAACATCCCACCCCTCCTGTGACCCATGGTTTGTCTGTATGTGTATTCAGAGCCAGTGAGCAACGCTAGCTGCTGCATTTTGAACTACTTGTAGCCGAGAGATTTGGGACTTTGATATTCCGAAATAGAGGGCGTTGCAATAATCCAGCCGGGACGTAATAAAGGCATGGATAGCAACCTCTTTGCTAATTAACGCTAATTGTTGGCATTAATCAATTAATGCGTTAACGCAATGATAACGCGTTAACTTGCACAGCCCTAATATATATATATATTCGGAGTGGGGAGTGGGGTGCAGCTGGTACGTTCACACCGGGTCCCGCGCTTGAGGTGGCCCCGCGACGAACGGACCAAGGGGGAACCCTTGTATATATATATAAACCATTTGTATCACTACGCTTGCGGTATTTGTCACAGCGGATGCTCAAATCCACTATAATTTTATAAATAATACTGTTTTTGTGTCACGGAATGTAGTTTTAATAGTTTTTAGGCAATAATGTACTTGTTTAGACTTCAAATATGTGGTTTGTTAATAAAGATAACACCTATTTGAAAATTTGCTTCAATGTTTTTGGAGATGTGCGCTTCAGGGCGTAAGAGGCCATTCAGCATTCATGAACGCGATAAACACAATATTCCACTCGTAGCAGTGCGATATGACTGTATATCAGCACGCTGTGATTACCTGAGGCCTCGTGACTATACGGCCAAATCACAGCCTTGCCGATATACAGCCATATCGCACTGCTACTTGTTGTATTAGTGTACTGTTAGTGTTAGTAGTATAAGTTGACATGCACTTCAAAAAAGTTACTTTTAGGCAAAATAATATCTGTTGGGAGGCCATCACAATAAAGAGTTAGCAGATGTTAAGCAGACAGTTGACATGTATATGCAACATTAATTATAATCAACAAATTATTTAAAGGGGAGCATCAAAATATTTACTAAAATAGTATATAACTCTTTACATACATATGAGCTCATGAAACAATCATTTAATTACAGTGACAGTTTATAAAGAACTCATTATTTGTATATAGACTAGTTATGTATTAACCATGTAGAGACTACAATTTATAATCTATGAATTAACTCTAAAAGTTTGATTTATACTTAACTGTTGTATACTGATTATAAAGTGTTACTGAAGATGTTTGTTTTATGTATTCCTGAAATTAACTGTCGTGGTCTTGCGGTCTGCAGGTTTAACACACTGTGTTGATGATCTGAGGATTGTGCTGCTGGGAAAGACAGGTGCTGGGAAAAGTGCAACAGGAAACACAATACTGAGAAGAAAAGCTTTTAAATCAACAATTGCATCACGCTCGTTGACCAGAGAGTGTGAGAAAAAAACCTCTGAGTTCAACAGAAGACGGATAACTGTGATGGACACTCCAGGCCTGTTTGATACTGGAGTTGATAATGTCGAGACCAGGAAGGAGGTTGTGAAGTGTGTCTCAATGGCAGCACCTGGACCACATGTGTTTCTGCTGGTGATTCCATTGGTACGATTCACTCAAGAGGAGAAAGATGCAGTGAAGATGATCCAGGACATGTTTGGAGACAAATCCAGAATGTACACCATGGTGCTTTTCACCAGAGGAGATGATCTTGAAGAAACAACAATTGACGAATTTATTGAAGAAAATTATATTTTAAAGAATATCATCCATCAGTGTGGAAAGAGATACCATGTGTTCAATAACAAAGACACTAAAGATCAGATGCAGGTTTCTGAGCTGCTGGATAAGATTGACTGTATGGTGGCAGCAAATGGACGAAGTTTCTACACCAATGAGATGTTCCAGCAGGTGGAGAAGAACATCAGAGAAGAGCAAGAAAGAATCATGAAAGAGCGAGAAGAAGAGATCAAGAGAAAAGAAGAAGAGTTGAGAGCCAAATATGAAGCAGAAATAGAAGAAATTAAGAAAGAAAATGAGAGAGAAAGACAAGAGATGCTGAATGAACTGAGAAAAAGTGAGGACGAATTCAAAAAGAGAGAAGAAGAGATCAAGAAAGAAAGAGATGAGAATCAACGAAAAGAGCTGCAGAGAAAACTAGAGGAGAAACAGAACAAATTTGAAGAGGAGAATAAAAGAAAAGAAAATGCTTTAGCAGAACAACAGAACTTCATAAAATACCTGGAAGAAAAACATGAGAAAGAAAAACAAAAACTACGGGAGAAAATTCAGCATGAAACAAGAGAACAAGCAGAGAATGAATTTGGTGAAAAACTCAACAAGGAAGTGGCAAAAGCTTTACAAGAATATGAGGAAGCAATATTATCCAGAGGAAAACAAGCTCATGGCTGGAGTCAGCATGGAGGTTCTTTTGGAGCAGCTGCTGAAATTATTGTAAGTTCTTTTGAAGACGTTGTGAATTTGATTATCAGATTACATCATAAACATCAAGCTCAAAAGTAAAATGAAGGGTGATTTCAGGTAAATTGGGATAAATCATCTCAAGCACATTACAATGTCTGCACATAATTCTCAATTCTCAAAACTATGGTTTCTGTACCATTTAGTTTTTTATTTGGATGTGTACCGCTACCTTATCTCACATACAGTATTGAAATTGTTAACCTGCTTGGTTTCTGTCTTTGGTCTTCATGCATGTTTTTGGACTTTGTACACTGCCATTTGGATTGTGCATTACCAACTTTTGAGGAATCCAGTAGAACTTCAAACACTGAAAACCACAGAAGCATTTCAAGCCTTATATCTAATATCTCAATAATACAGGTGCATCTCAATAAATTAGAATGTCGTGGAAAAGAAACAATTGTCCCTTATTTTCCATTTCTTATGTTAATTGAAAATGATGACGTAATTATCTTTTGACTCCCCTGACAGCGGAACCTTGTTGGGTCCGAATCCAACAGGATTTGTCTTTTTTTCCCCCTGCTAATTATATGCATTGTATCTTATCTCCACCAAAATTGTGCCCATGTGATCATCAGACTTGGTTGCGAAAATGTTTGGACTTTTTATATTTTTTGACCAATATCCAACAAATCCATGCTGTTGTGTGCTGGCTCTCAGCTCAGGTAAACATAGCTGTAGTGTGACAGTATGTAAGCCACAATGCATGTTAAGTTTCTTCTATCATATATAAAAAAGATAAATAAATTAAATACATAGATATCTAAATGTCATGTGTTCCTATTCCTTTTTAAAACCTATCTGGTCATGCATTTTTGTAAGCAAATCAACAAATACTATTTCAGTTTTTTTTTAATACTATAACATTATTTGTAATATGAAATTACAATAATTTATTAATGTTAAAAAATAATTATACTTTTTTTTTTTTTTT